TATATATATATATATATGCACAGTATACTAAAAACAAACAAGAAAATACATGTACAAAATTTCTATAATGTTTAATATGCGAAGCTTAGACATAACAGAAATTGACTCATTTATTTTATTAATCAGAATATATTAAGAATTTTCGTTATCAGTTTTATAAGCCAAACCTTCAACTTCTGCATTCCTATTAAAAGTTTTTTTTTTTTCATGTAGTTTCAATTTGAAATAAAATTTAAAGCAGATTAAGTAGAAAAATTGGTAACTTCGTAGAATTACTTTATGCTCAGAAAAAGTTATGGCTATTTTTAAAAAATTTATAACATTTATAGCAAGTTTTCTTTAGAGGTTTAAATGAAAAAAAAAATTACCAGCACTGTTTCGCTTGGCTTAAATATTGCAAGCCTAACAATTTTCAGACCATGCACTAAGATGACCATAATTTTTCCCATATTTTCTTTTAGTCCCCATAAAAAATAAAAATAAAATTTAAAAAAACTTTGGGAATTACAAGCTAAAGAAAACAAATTTTTAGAATTATATATTTTTTTAAAGAAGAAAAAAATTAACAAAATTTACCAGCTTTCATGAAGCATGCAATAATTCAGGCATGCAGAAATATTCTAAAACCAAATAGTAAATAATGAAAATTTTACAATAATTTATAAATGAATTACAAAAAAATTAGTAAATTAATTAATGAAGTTACATTTACATTTTTGAAGAGGATAGATAATTCTCTAATTTATTTTAATTTGAAGTACAGTGAATAGCAGTAAGAAAACCTATGCACACACAACATTATTCGTTACATAATTTATGTAAAAAATTTTAATTAAAAAATTCTCAAGTGAGACAGATTTTACACTTTAACAATTGTGAGAAATAAAACTATAACGCCATATTATAACAGTTGTAAAATTGTACCTATAAAAGCACTTGATGGAATTATCTTTGTAAGCTACAAGGATATAAGATGGAGGAGGATTTGCATCATAAATGGATAAACGGGGAGTTGCAACTGCCACTACCCCTGAAGGAGAAGTTGATGATGTATGATGTTGCCATACCTAAAGATAAAAAATTTATATTTGTATTTACAAAAGGCAAAATGGGAACATATTTTCAAATTTGTAAATTGAAATCAAGTTAATAATTTTATCATATAGATGGCTTAATTGTATAAGTTTAATACTAAAAGCATAAAATTGCATGAATTTCAAAATCGCACAAATAGGAAAAAAATCAGATCAGAAGTTTTAAAAATCACTTGTTAGTTGAGAGGAATAATACAATTCTAAAAAAAAAAATATCCATTGCATTTTATTTTTAGAAAAATAAAGGAGGACTGTTCTAAGCGCCGTTATTAAAAAAATTAATTAAAAAAAAGTTACGAGTAATTTTACTGTGTTAATTTTTGGGAAGTGAATTTCAAATAAAAAATTACATTTGAAAATTACTGCCACTTCAAGACACAGATTACATTATAACAAATTAATTAAGAGAAATAAGCACTCTAGAATTATTGATAGAATTTTTAACTAAAACATTTTTAAATAAAATATTACTTCATTTATATTTGCAGGTTAATCCGACTAAAGATACTAAAAACAAAACGTAATATAATGTATTTAGTTTAGTTTTTTCTGGCTATTTTACAGCACGTTCAAAATTCATACTTTAATTGGTGGCATTAAAAAAGCTTCCTCTATAAAATTATTTTAAATTGACACATAAATACTCATTGACAAAGTAAAGCTTGTTTTGTAGATTTTATTCTATTTTAAATAGAAAAACCTCTTACAAAAGTAGGTGCAGTTATTTTCAGTTGTTGGAATTCAATGCTTATTTTCTCGCATGCTTAATATTTCTTTACTATATTAAAATAAAATGTTTTGTTCGTGACATGGTAGCCAAGCTTGGCTATGCTGTTATACACAATATCTTCTAAGATATTGTATATCTATCTTTTTCTTGATTTCATTGCAGCAACTACTTGGTTTTGCACAGTTATATGTGTGTAAACTTGGGATGTCCTTCACTATTTGTTTATTTGCAACAATAAATTATTTTTGGACTAAATCTGCTTCAATGTTTTAGATGGATGGCCATCAGAAATGTTATAGCAATAACAGTTAATTTCCTCAATCCAAGATGCATGAAAAAGGTATCATAGTCAACCTATCACTGATTTATGTACACAAATCTATAAACTTTATGTATGAAAAAAAAATGAGATAAAAAAGCATCTCACAATCGAGAAAACACTTACGAGGAATATTTTCACTTCTGGTAAAAATTTTTAAAAGAGTAACTCAAGTTCTACTCTTGAAACATGTGTCCCAAAGCTTATAGTTCATTGCCTCTTGATATATAGTAAAAACCCATTACAATGACAATTAAAAATAGCATACTTAATTGATTTTATACAGAGCTGGCCATTATAAAAAATAAAAATGCTTAATGCTAAAATAATAATGAAGAACTAAAAGATCAAATATACATAGATACCTCTCTCTCCTTTTTATTTTGAACAACTATTTTGATTCCAAATACATATCTAGAGAAAACAGTTTTTGCTTACTGATTGTAGACTGAACTAGAAGTTATTACAAGAGGCAAGTGCAATATATTGTAATGGTCCGTAAGCCTTGATTACAACGTATATCGATTTTAACAGTATTAACAATTTTACAGTATTAGAAGTAAGAGAACATGGTAGATATACTGCTCAGGGGATAGAGCGTTCGCCTTCCAATGAGGTGAACAGCTTTCGAATCCCAGCAACGTTTGGTTGATACGAATTCTGCATCCGGTTTGCACCGACCACAGTGCTGATGTAAAATATCCTCAGTGGTAGACGTAATCATGGGTTAGAGTCCCCTTGCTCCATGTAACACAAGTGAAAGTCCATCAAAAAGTCCTCCACAAAGGCAAATTTCTCCCAATAATTGGTCTAAGAGTTCTCGTCTTCTGGATTAGGTTCGAAATAACAAGGCTACGGAGTTGAACATTAGTAGTCGTAAAGCTAAAAAATTGGGTCGGCAGGTCAACGAAGGTTAAGAAAACAGTTGGTAAGTTAAACAATAACTTCACGAGCCACTTATACATAATATTTAAGCATTCCTTTTTTTCTATTGTAACATGAAAAAAATAAAAATGTCTTCAATTTTATGCTTTTTCATCCTCATAATATTGCTCACTTAAACTGCAGAAAAATGCATTTCCTAAGAAAAAATAAATTGTTGCAGTAGTAATTTTCAGCTTGTTATAAACATAAAACTTTTTCAGTCAATATTTATTATAGTGAACCTTCAAGGGACCGAAATCTCGGTTCACTATAACCGGGAGTTCACTATATCCATACTGCAAACAATTTTAACTAATTTTTCAAAACTGCTCCCTTTTATTACACATTAGTTAAATAAATGACCAATAAAAAGAAATACAAAAATGATTAAAAAACAATGTGTTAACTTTTATTTTTTATTACTCTTCGTCTTGAGTGCAAAAAATTTAAGGGTGGCCTTTTTCTTTAGGGACAGAAAACGGAGATAGAAGAAGCAAACAAGAAAAAATGCTTATGGATACATTCAACTCAATAGATGGCTTTAGAAAATTGGTATATGTATTTTATGTAGAAATTCAAAATTACCAAAAAATGAAGAAAAAAATTCAGTCAAAGACAGAAAAAGTTCATAATATCTAATTTCCTCTCTTCATTTGGTTCATCATATCCACAAAAAATGATATAAGTGTACAGCAAGGCACAGGAGCGAACATTTTGTTCACTATATCAGAGAATTCACTATAAACCATGTTCACTATAAAGGGGTTTGACTGTATTAGCATTTTGAAAGTGACTTGTAATAATAACATTCTTTACTCATTACATTGATCTTTAACTATGTAATTTTTTGATAAAATTTTATCTAAAATTGCCTGAGTATTGTCTCGTACAAATTTCTTGAAAAGTGTGTGCATGTGAAGAAGTATTGAGGATGGTCTTAAGATCAAAATGATCCCATAACTGCTACTGATAATTCCTTCATTTTTGATGAGTCTCATTTTGAAAATAAGCTAACGCTTTTAATAACAGAATAATTTTCATTAATATAATTCATCTTACCACTGTTTTAGGTTGAGTTTCCAAAGCAGCAGTATTTATCAATTTATGAAATATCACAGGTTTCTCTCTCAGTTCCCATAATTCAACAGTGCTTCCAGTTGGACCTTAAATTTAAAGCATCTTTTAAACATTTATAAAAAAGACATTTTTTTAGCTATTCTATTTATCTAAGAAATAGCTTTAAAAATTGGTATTTTTTTAAAAAATTGCAACGAAAAAATATTAATAATACTAAATAAATAACTGTTTTTTTTCTTTTTACTTTTTCTCAATTTTATCAATTAAAAACATAAAAGAAATTGTTGATATTTTCAAATAAGTAAAACTTAAAAGTCAAATTTTGGTTTCAAAATTATAGGAAATTATAAATGAAAAAATATATATATAATGAATTAAGAAGTGAAAAATTGAAATATATTCTTACCAGATGCAGTTATAACAACAGCATCAGCTGCCTCTCGAAGGATGAATTTGAGATGAGTAACTTTTGTATAAGCTGGAATAAATAAAAATTGAAATGTATGTATAGTAAACAAAGAAATGAAACTTAATTTTATTATTTATTTTTAGGGGGCATGTCCAAATACATTGTTATGTCTACAGCTGGAGAGAGGGCTATGCAATCGATATTGTTTGACCCTCAATAACAGTTGAGAACATTTGACTTTTTGAAACAAATATTAACTTAAGCATGCAACTACTTCTTAATAAATAGGCAGAATTATTTTGAGTAAAACTAGATAGATATTATTGTTATTAGAATCAGGAATAGAAACATAAAAAAAGTAGTAGGCTCTCCAGACCAGGGAGCTTGAAAATAAACTAGTTCACAAACAATGCTAATGATCTATTTAAACTTTAACACCTAAATTTCAGACAACTTTAAAAAATTATCTAACTAAAAAAAATTAACATATTAGCTTTATTTAACAGTTTGGAGTGAACTTAAATATAAATTTAAAAAAATATTGTACCCAAATAATAGAACTATGAGATAAATAGTACAGATATTGGAAACTAATGACAAATAATTAAACAAAAGAATTGATATTTTGATTTTTAAATTATCAATTGAATTATTTAAAAATTTGTTGAATAATAACAACATGCAGTTCATAATAAAACTGCACAAGAAATAGAAACATTTATCTGTTTTTCAAATGAAGCTGCTTTCAGGGGTCTGTCTAGGTTTTTCTGACAGGTACCTATTTTGTGAAAATTTAGACGTAATTTGTGAAAAATTAAAAATTATATTAACAAATCAACACAAAAATATGGATTTATTGTTTCTTAAGGGATACAAAAATGAAATTTTAAGAAAAAGTATTTTGTGAAACTACCATTTTTCCTAAAATTGAATTTGTGAAACTACCGTTTTTCCTACAGTTGAATTTGTGAAGGTACCGCTAAACGGTAGTAAATTCGGCCTGGATAGACCCCTGGCTTTAGATGTTTTTTTAGAGAAAATGTGATTCTGTATTAATATTAACACCAAAATGGTTCATCACATAGAATTTTTTCAGGAGATAAGTTGCCAATTTTCTAGTCAATTCTCAAATATCTTGCTTCCTAACGTCTTCAGAGCCTCGAAATTTTGGAAAGATGGACTTATGTCATCAAAGTTAAAAGATCACCAAAATAGTCGCCAAGTTAGTCAGTCCACTGCCAATGAAAGTGAATTACTTATGCACGTAAATTATTATTTATTGTGTGCTGTTAGAATATATGAAGTGGCCAAACCAAAATGTGGATTTTAGGCCAAAAGTTGCATTACCAAAAATTGAAACAAATTTTCAACCAAAATTATACAAAACACACTTATGTTCCTCTAAATGATATTTTTATTTAATATGATAAAATCCGTTTTATTAGTGTGTTCAGTCTCCCTAGTCAAATAGACCAATGACAATTAGTTTCCTACAATATGAATCATGTTGTAATAGACTTAGTCAGCAGACAACCAATGATTCTGTATGCTGTCAATTTTTTTAAATAAAAAGTTGTTTTTAGGTAAAAGGTTTATAAATAATGAAATAGGTTAAATAAATATTTTTTTCAATATTAAAAAAAACGTTAAGAATTTTTTTTTTTAGTGAAACTGCATTTGACATTGAAAGAACAGTATCAGTCAGAAAGGATTATAGCTTTTAATCTGTCTTTTTTTCTGTGAATTTTTCATTTCATCAAACAAAGTACATTCGTGATCACCAAGAGTAGATATATTAATATAAATCGACATTTCTCTATTTCATTACTTAACATACCTTGTTTTTCTCCAAGTAGACAGTTGGAATGACAATTTAAATAAAAGCTTGAAAATGGTTGGCAGCTGATTATGCATTCATCTGCAAGTTTAAAAAAAAAAAAATAATGCAATGAAAGTTTTTATTCATATTATATAAATAAAACTTTTTATAGGATTTACACAAGATAAAATGCTAAACTAGACAAACATATGCACTTGAAATACAAACAATCAAATATTCAAGTTATAGACATGAAAATATTATCATGCTCACATTACCTTCATTTTAGGCAATCACATAACTTAAGAAATTTATGGTACACATTAAGTGTTGTTTTGAAAACTTCAATAGGCTTTAAAACATTACTACTAAACTCTGTGGCACAACAGCTCATAGAGAGCCAAGTCATGTATGGGATGTGCCTATCTCAGTTTTCTTGATCTTGGGCTCTGGGGTGCAGAAACAGATGTTCCGGTTGGGTGGTCAGTCCAACGTGGAACCCCATGTGTTTAGTCCTCAAGCATGCTTGGTACTCATTTTATTGATCTACTGAAGGGATGAAAGGTTGAGTTAATCTTGCCCGGTCCGAGGATTGAACCCGGGACCTGTGGCACGAAAGGATGAAGTGCTGACACTCAGATACCGGGTGTTGCTTTAAAACATTATATCAACTTAAAGCATAGAAATTAAGTCATTAATTAACATTGGTTTTTAAATAAATCAGTTTTAAAAGAGAATGCATGTTTTGTAAACAACTTCCAGATTAAACATTTTAAAATTAGTCAATGTCACTTAACATTCTTGTTCACAAAGGTTTTCAACTGTAAATAAATTTTCTAATTTTCTATTATTGAACTTTGAAGAGACTGAATTAGGAATTCAAATGCCCAAAAGCCTATATAAGGGAAAAACTGCAACAAAATTAAGGAAAAAATTTTAAAAATAAATCATAAAAGCTTTACCAATGAGAGGCTATATAAAGTACCAGCAAAACACAGTAGATTGTTCAAAGAAGAAATATGGATAGAAAATTTATTTATATATCATTATATATATTTACATGTATTGCATATAATCATATATAAATTATACATTTATAATGTATAAAGAAAATAATTATTACATGGAATAAAACAAATATTTAAGGAGTATCCTTCTGGAACAAATATTTGAAACAAATTTGAGTCAACAAAAAATTTATTTAAAGATAAAATTTTAAAGAAAAAAAATTTTTTTCCTTGCCTTTAAAAATTAAAACCCAACAAAAAATTACATTTATGTACTTTCTATTACGTATTATAAGAGAAATTGAAAAGAAAATTCGTATACTTCTTTTTTCAACGTTTTTATAGAACAGTTGCATTTAAAAAAATAAAGGAAAGGGGGAAAAAAATGACAACTCATATTTTTATAAAAAAATATAAAAGCTAATTTAGAAAATTATTATTGCAAAACATAATACGAAAAGTTTTACCCTGATTAACTTTTAATCCAACTCTATAGCAATGAACAGATGACTGGACAAGTCCATCCGTGGCAACTACTAAAAAATCTCCACCTAAAAGACATATTCATATATTAGCTGTTTAAAAAACTACTTAAACTGCATATTTTTCAGTCATTTATTACGTCTCACAAAACACTTCTTATGAAAAATGGAGTATTTAAGATCTTCAATTCACATTAAAACTAAAACTGCTTTAAACAGGGATGAGCTTGGTAAAATGCTAAAAAAGCTGAAAATAGAAAACCAGAAACGTTTTGTGCAAAACATGCTTTAAATAATAAAAAAATACAGGAAATTTTAGCAGGAAAATGCATATGTATAAAGCAAATAGCCATAGAATATTGTCAATGTTTTAACAAAGAACAATTTTCAACATGGTTTGAATACAATCTCAATGGGTAATCTTTAAATTGTGTCATTATGAATCCCTATGTGGGATTTTTTAATCACATGAATAATAACTTTAATGTGTGATTTTTTTAATCACATGAATATGAATCCTGATGTGATATTTTTAAATTGTATGCATAAGTATACTAATGTAATGTGTAACTTTAAATCACATGAAAACAGATCACGACGTGATGTGCTATTTCAAATCCTGTAAATACAAATAACTATATAGGATTTAAAAGTATGTTAATATGAATACTGATGTATAATTTTTAAAAAAATGGGAAAAGGAAGTGTGATGTGTAATTCTAAAGAATGTGAATGCAATCTTAAATTATGTTTACACAGGTCGGAAAGTGTGATGGGTAATTTAAAATTGCACGAATACTCGAATTGAGATGGGAAATTTCAAATCAGGTGAGTATGAAACACAATATGCGATTTTACATTTATGCATATGATATGTGATTAGCTTTAACAAGTAGATTTTATAATACACAAGTATAAAAATTATAAAACGAACATTATACATACAAAGTGAAATTTTAAAAACTACATGAATCATAGTTTATTAATTGAATCACATCAATCAGTCATCATATGCTTTAATTGTGATTAAGAAACTAAATTACATTATTAACATTAATTTATGTTTCGAGGAACATTTAATTTTTAAAAACTTTTTATTTTTCAGCTACAAATATGGTTCTACTGAAGATAAAATTTGAGATGAAAAATCATTAACAGAGCATATTTTACAAATTAATATTTTGATACTGTATCAAGTCGTTTTGATTCTATGAATTTTTTGATATTTGATATCAAGTATTTTGATACTATATCAAGGCAGAGCTCTCACAAGAAATAATAAAAACAGATGTTATATTTATTTACTTTTAATCCAATCGGCTAAATATTGCTGCTGAGAACGAAGAATTGTAGGTTGGCTTAAACAGGCACTGACTGTTCTTTACGTTAAAACTGAAAGATATGTTCCTCTTTTTCTGTTTAATAAATACTTGCTTATGTTTATGTTTAATTAACATAAACAAGTTATTTTATATTTAATAAATACTTGTGTTCCATCCAAACTTTTATATTTCAGTCTAATAACCAAGTTCAACCTTAATAATTGTTATCATCAATTTTGAAATTGGTTATTTTCTAAGTCTGCTGCAAGATTCTTGCAGGTTTAGCCCAAAAAATTACATTATTTTCAGAAAATTCTCAGTTTTTTTTTCTCCAAAAATCTAATTCCCCTGACAATTTCTGGTTTCCTTGACCCCATGGAAACTCTGCTTTCGGTTAAGGAAGAAGTGTACAAGCTGCAATTCTGGAATAACCAATACGATACTCCCTGCTTTTTAACTAAAAATTAATTAGAAATAAATACATAAAATTTTTGACCGTCTTTCGAAATAATTTCACCAAATTCTGTTTTGAAAGAAAATATTTCATTGACTTAAACATGTTTCAGGGTTTTTTCCTAAACACGATACAGCAAAAACAGAAAATGTCTTAACAGAAATGGCATTATGTCTTAGGTAAAATAATTGATCTGTCTAAGAAATATAGCACTCATTTGATGGAGATATCTAGTTATCTCTAGTAATTGACCCAATTGCATAGTTATTTCAATTGGTGGTAGTTCATTGATTTAAAACTTAATACTCATTTTTTACGAATATTGTTTTAAGTGTTTAGAAAAAAATCTGTTTTATAATCAAAGCAATAATATAGAATGTCATGTCTAAAAGCAAAAATTAATTCCAACTAATATTTCAAGAGAAATAATATTTCATAAATAATCATTTAAAAAGAATATTCAAACATAGACATTGCTTTAAATAAAGCTAGTAGTTAGCAGGCCTCAAAATAAAAAATTGGGAGGGGGGACATAATTTGAGGTCTGCACAGCTAAAAAGGTTGGGAACCACAGATCAATCAAAACATTTATAATACAAATAGAGTAGATTGAAACAGCATTTCAAATAAGGAAACATTTTTAAAGCCACTTACTTTTAGCATAACACAGATCCACAACTTTTATTTTACTTCTAAACTGTCCCAAAATCTCTGAGGAAGTTATTATGCTCCCATCTGATTGGAGAATTAGAACAAATACCTAAATGTTTAATAGGAAAAAAAATATGCTTATACTACGCTACAAACCAAAACATTACAAAAAAGCACATTAAATTTTATTTATACAGTGAAGTAACAATTTTAAAATAATGATAACAATGAAATAAAATCAGAAAAAATAATTCAAAATTAATTAGCATTTACTTAAGGGAAAGACAGTTATATTAATTTTATTTTTGTTCTAAGTTAAATTACTTCATAGAATCATTTACATATATTCAAAATAAAAAAATATTTCCCTTTCGGTATCAGCATTCATAAAAAAAATAATCACTAATCACTATTCACTATAATTTCACTAATTTTTTCTTATTAAAAACATAAAGGGGAATGCTGTTCATTCTCTTTCTTCTTTTTTTTTCCCAGCAGATCAACAATTTCAAAATTGAATTCAAGTTGTTCAAAATAAGTTTCTGTAACTTGATAACAATATTCAAACATACATAATGGTTTAGATAAAGCTAGTAGTTTGTATAAGTTATACAAAATAAAATCTCATATTTTTAATTTAAAATTATTTTTTTTACGTTTCAATGCTTTAAATCTTAATTAAATAATGAGGATTTATAGATTAAATTGCAAGAGGGCTCCCGCATGATTGCCAATCCCCCAAGTCACATTGCAACAGGGGTGATTGTGACTCAAATTCAAAAACCCTAACAATTTTAAGTGAAAAAAAATCAATATAAAGATTTTAATTTTTTATACCATACATGTTTCTAATTTAACATAATTTTTTGAACTAACATTTATAATTAAATTAACTACTAATGAAAAATATGACACTTTTGCAGCAACTAATTTAAGAAAAAACTTACTTCTTACGAGAATAGTAATATTGTATTTCAAAACCGCGTTAATATGAATCTCGATATTGGATTTTAAAAATGTGAAAACACAAATTGCAATGTTGAATTTTTAAATTGCGTAAATATAAATCATGCTGCATAATTTTTAGATCGTGTGAATACGAATTGCAATCTGTAGTTTTTAAATTATGTATAAATGCGAAAATCGACGTTTGACATTACATAATAAAAAAAAATACTCTTCTCAAAAAATGCATATAATAAATTTAAAATGTCACAGATACAGGAACTTATTAACTTTGTTATAATATTTATGAAAGTTGAAATTTTTGATGATGAATTTCCAATTATTTAGCAATTTCTAACTTTATTAAGTCTAGTCCATTCTAATTAAATTAGATAGCTGTAGTTTTATCCTATACATTTTTAAATAAAAAATATATACCATAAAAAACTCCGTGAAAAAAAATAGTTATTTGAAATACCATTCCAGCTGTTGTTATGGCAATCAAGCCTTCACTAGGTTTTCCTCCAAACTGTTTGACTGAAGGTCCAAATCGGGTAAAAGAATATTTTTCTAAATACAGATGATTGTCTTTCTTATCCATATTTAGAGCAATCTAAATAAAAGAGAGAAAAAAAAATAAACATTTAATGATAAGCTCAGCTTATATGTTAGGATGATGTTTCTTGCAAAAAGATAAAAAATTCAACAATTCTTTTATGATTCAAAAAAGTTTTAAACTATTCTCTTCATATTTTATGCAACTAATGCATTATTAAAATTTTAAAGCTAATTTTAAAGTAATCTTAAATTTTAACATTTTATTCTTCAAAAGTTAAATAGATCCATGTAAAAAAAAAATGAACATTATTTGTAATAATGTTTTCTTACATTCCTTTAAGCAAATTGTACTAATGGCCCTCAAATAAAGAAAAAAAAATAAGCATTACATTTAAAGTTGGAAAAATGCATTTAAATTATAATTTTGTTTACTTATATTATTTAAACAATAATTTTGAAAAATCTTTGATCAATAAAATTGTTTATAAAACAACAAGGAATTCAACTATTACAAATAATAAATACGAAAATTTGATTTTTAGCTTTAAAAACTTATTGAGAGCTTTTATTAGCTTTCATTTAAATGTTAAATATTTTGCAACATTATTAGATTAATGGACTGAATTGAAATATTGAACATCTATACAAGGTTCAAGTAAGATATGTTAATTAAATGGTGCAATATACAAATATATAATAAATGTGATTGCTTTGTATTCAAAACTTCTTATAAATCGAGAAACATATATACTTTCAAAGCACTATTAAAACGTTTACACTATTAGAAACTTTATAAGTAAACCAAATTAACTAACGTTTAATTTGTGAATGTTAATTAAATTTAACAACACAGTTAAAATAATTTTTAAACTTACTTTTTTACCATTATGGAACCAAGCGGCTGATAAAATGTATTCTTCATAAGTAGTAGAGGTGATTTGTACCCAATCATTCAACAGAAAATCCTAAAACAACAAAATAATGCCAAATAATGTAACTAAAAACAATTTACTTAAAAATTATGCAAACATAATTTAAACTACGAATATAATAACATAATACATTGCAGCATTAACATCTTATTTAAAAAAATTAACAGGTCTATATTTTTATGAAAAGTACATATAATTTTTCCAATATTTGTATCGAATTTCCTAAATTTCTTTTCTTCTTAATATAGATGATATGTATTTATGAATAAGAGCAATCAAATTCCAGTTCTTCAAAAAAATTTTAAACCTATGTATTAACATAGAAAAACATATTTAATACACATAAATTTAAAAATAATATTTATATATGCTCTTTTCCGTTACAGTTCAAAAATTTTGATTTTATATAATTATTATAAAATTATATAAATGAGATAAAAATCATAAATAATTCAAGGTATGAAATATAGTTAAATTATAAAAAAAAAAATCATAGTTCAAAATAAATAATCAATAAGTAACACATAAGTCATACATACATTCATTACCCACACTTGAATGCAACCAACTGCATCAGCTATGAGTAATTTTGTAGCACTTATGTCCCACTCAACACATGTTATATCTTCATTATGACTCAGAACTCTAAAATATAAAAAAAGTAATTAACTTTAAGTAAGAAACTTTATTATAAAATATATGTCAGTAAATAAGTATGTACAGTATTTTCAGAAATAATATATTTAAAAAAAAATGAAATTGTAATTTTCCGTACAAAAATTTATGAAATTTAAGAGCAGAATTCAAAAAGTAAAATAATAATAGCAGAATTCAAAAAAAAAATTTTTTTTTTACTAAGAGTAAATTTTTTTTGAGCAAATGTAATATAAAAATACAAAATATTTATTTCAAGTTGACAAATTAGTTTTAGTCAGATTTCCCACAAATGAAATTCTAATGTTTTGAAAAAATTGATTTTATGATAATTAACAGTGCTACCAATGAATTCAGTAACACAATATGACACAAAAATATACTTTCTCTTTATAAATGTATCTCCAATAAAATTTGATTTCTTATTTTCAAATTTTGGAATAAATCACCTGAAATTGTGGGGTTTGTAAAATGTGGTTCAAATAACTTAGTGAAAAAGTAGCTTAAAAATTTGTACCTCAATGTTAATTTTTACTCCTTTAGATTAAATGTTCCAAATAGACTAAGATAAAATAAAAAACTTTCAGTGAACACAAGATCTTAATTAAAAAACTTTCTGCCAGCAATTACAACTAAGTTTCATGAATTGAAATATTAACCATATCTTGAAATTAGTAACAAACCTTTTATTGCCAGTTGTTTTTGAAAAATTTGAAAAATCATAATTTTTTTTAAAAAAAATGCTTAAATTATTATAAAACTTTATACTGATTATTACAAATATCAAACTGCTTGAAAGTCAAAGGCAACGATGCAATCGCAGAAAAACATGGCTGTGAAGCAGAAAAAGAAATTCTCCTATGAATCTCTGCAAGATTGAGGAACTTAAGCCCTTTTTCTTTAAATATACATACATATATAATGAGTAATCTTAAAAAATCTTTCAAGATGCTAAAAAATATTGACTGCATGGAAAAACTTTGACCTTAATGAGTGATAGTGCAAATTATTCCATGATGGTGATAAATTTTCCTCAAACAATAGGTATCATCATCATAGTTGGCCAGACAGTCCAATGTGAGCCAATGCCTTCCTCTGAAGATTTCTCCATGATGACTTCTGATTTAAACAATATGTATATAAATACGGAAATGCAACATTTCTGGGAATCAAGACCAATTTTTGGGAGCCAAAATATTTTGAATAAAAACTAATGTAACAGCTTTTAGCTCTTATGGTAAATTTTATGAAAATGTTGGATCTGAGCTTACATTCCTTGAATAGCCTGGAGATCAGGATCTTTAGACCCCCTCCAACAACTTTTGTATTTCGAAAACTCATAAACTTTGGAGTTTAAATATAGATAATTAGAAACTAATTCACTAAAAGTAATACTTATAACATCATGCTAATAGATTTTTATCAATAAAATGCATAATGTAAAATTTTAAACAGACAAATTTGCAACAAGTTTACACAGTTCAATACATTGTAATAAAAGTTTATTAATTTTAAAAGAATCGAAAGTCCCTGGCAGAAACTTGAAAAGGAAAGTACTGCCTACTTGTATGCTTCCCATGGCATATTCAAATCAGCAACATAAACATGGATCCTTGAAATTTTAGCTGTGCTATCAAGAAGATCTGTAGTTGATGTAAAAGCAATTGTATTTCGACTTGAAAGTGACAGTACTGCTTTTCCTTCAGTAATCCTAAAACACAAAAACATAGAAAATCATCTAAAAACAAATAGAATAAAAATAATTTTCTGAAATTTTAAAACTGAAAGAACTATTGTTACTTTCTAACACTTTTAATCTATATTTTCATATAGATTAACACTCTGGTAAAAACATAATTTACCACCAAAATATAGAAGATGGTTTTGCTGTATTTCTTTATGCTAAAAGACACGAAATTAACAGTAGTTGGCTTGAGACTGTAAATATTTTACTCATACCAACAGAAAATAAATTATCAATAGTTCCGTAGATTGGCAATCAATGTAAAAACAATATGCCTTTTTCTGTTGTTCAATTTTTTTTTCCTTTCTTTCTTTTGAGTGTGTATGTGTTTTGGCCTGTGATTGCCACAAAATAGCATATTTTAACATAATTTTGAATAGGGATATAACGAATATTCAGCTACTATTTGATCCCATTCCATTACTAAATATTTGGCAAGTCGAATGGTTGGCTAAATATTCGGCTATGTATTTTTTTTTTTTTTTACATATTTTTAGCAAAGTTTTCTTTGTTTGAATTTGAACAGATTTATGAAGAGTAATCTAATATCTTATTTTTTACTATATATTATTAGAAGTAGTTTTTACACAGATTTATTAAGTTCTAAAATTAGCAAATTTATGTTCTGAAAAGCAAAGGGAAAAGTTAAATTTGTTGACTTGAAACTAGATTACTTTACACTGAACCATGAGTTTTATTTTGCTTTTGCTGTTTCTATTATAGAACAGCATTTTAACAGGGCATTTCTAATAGACTTTATTCCTTTATTATCATTTTTTTCCTACTAGGTAAGACAAATAACTGTGATTTTCAAAATTTAATTTATATTTTGAAAACACATTTCTTTTCTTTTTTTTATCTTTTCTTCCTACATTCTTTAAGCTCTTTTATCTACTTTTTTTTTTAACATACAGCATTTTGAAAAACTTAAATTGAGATTTTTAGCATTAAATTTTTCATTTAAAAATTAAGTCAACTAAAAATTTTGTTTCGTGATCTACCTATTTATTTCCTTTTTAAAAAACTTTTGTGTTTATTGACTTAGTAGATTTAGATATGTAGATTTTTTCAATTTCTTTCTTAAAAATACGATAATTATAAAACTGAGATGTTAGGCCAAATATGCAGTATTGGGCTTACTATTTACTATTCGTTATAACACCAAATTACGTTCTATTGTTATAACACCAAATTTGAATATAAAATGTAATGTAATTTTTCATATAAACTCACTAAGTTTTTTTCAAAAGAGTATTGTTACATAGGCTTCTAAACCAACCAGTCAAAATAAATATTGCTTAGTAATGCCTTTTAGTTACTGATCTTGTGAACCAGTGACTAAACTTCCTTAATTTTGCCCATAAAATAATTTTTATTTCATTATTGTTCACAAGATGAAAGCACCTCTTGATAGTTTACATGCTTAAAAATTAATTTACTAATGAGCCCTTATTTGCGCAATAATATTTCTAATTCCTAAATATCATTTCTCTATCTATTTAATTCAAGATAGATGAATTATATTGATTATAATACAATACAAGTTCAAAGTAAAGAATATAGCTTAATCTGAGCAGTTTTCTATGAAGACAAATTTGTACAATCAGCAACATTAAACGTACAAAAATGGTCTGTTAATGCTAAGTTAAAATTTACTAGCATTCCTTTATTGTTATAATTTTTAAGGGGGGGGGATTCAATTTTCTGCTGCTTAGGTGCAATATGATGGAGAAAAAAAACGGGAAACGGGTGATACTTTTACTTATAATATTAATACAGAAAAGTGAAAAATAAACATTTCACTATATTTTCCCGTATAATTTTAACCATTTTTGTTTATGAAGTAAGCATGTGTGGTTGACTTGCTTTTAAAGACAAGATCACTATAACGACAACTTCATTTGATGTTGTGAATTGTCACCATAACGAAATTATACAATACTTCAATTAAAGTTTTAAAACTGTTTTACCAATCCGTGTTAGTAGAGGCACTGGGAGTAATTTTTCTAAGAACAGAATATATGTGATCCATTTTGAAAACAGAACACAAAAATTTATTTATAAATTTTGCTGCTTATAGATTAAATTAAAGTATAACATTTATAAGTATAATTTAGTTAGAACCGCTAATAAACAGAGGACAAATAATAAGTAAACAAACAAAACCATCGGCTAAAGCCGAACAGTCATGGTTACGATTATATGTTCTGTTTCGAGGCTATGATTCTCTTATAAATTTTGTCTGCTGCACGGTTAAAATAATCTGCTGTGCGCTTTTATCTTACCCTTTGTAAAATTTGAATTCTAAAAAAAAGCATAAAAATATTGCAGCGCAATTCTTCGAAACTAATTTTAAACTAATAAAAAAATTCTTTTTACTATTTGAATTGTTTTTAGGATTATTATATTTACAAAAGAGTAATTTTAAATAAAAAATTTTATTAAATTGAATAGGTTTTTTAAACTACTAATTTCAGGTGTGCAGCTTTTTTAAATTCAGGTCTACTTTCTCTGCAGAATGGAGAATGATCTTCCTCTGGTGCAGATCAAAATTATGATCTGTGGTTGAATGAATGTATGTATGAATGGGTTAGCCCTATAAAAGGGTGTGACGTATGAGAGTGGCAGAATTTGAGTTCTAGGTCCTAGAGGGCGCAGCTGGAAGACAAGATCAATCGCACCTCTTGCCCTAATGGCCTACAACAAAAACAACAACTTTGATATCTATAATTTTCTATTAAATCTTGTATACTGAATTGAATGAGATAAAATTCAAGCTGATATGATTAATAGTTTTTAAATTATAAGTGTCCTCTTCATAATATCAGCAATAGAAATATAGAAGTCTAATCACCTTAGAAAACATATTTTCGGGTAAAAATATTTTTCCTGTGGCATAGACATTTCATCCTTGGAAACGGTTTTCCTCAAATCTCCCTCATCTCGAGACCTTAGATGCTCTCTACAGATTATCCGGCGAAACTAGATTGCGGTGATTTACTACTGCCTTTATGCCATGAGTAGGACTGGGCGATATTAGAAATTATACATCGTGATGCATCGTCAGTTTTGCATCGCGATATAGCGATGTATCGCGATATAGTATTTTTTAATTTAATTTACTTGTAAGGCTGCAGATTTCTATCAAAACTTCATACTCAGATTGATTTAAATCAATTTATAAATTTGAAGATATTTATGTTTTGCTTAAGAAAGATATTAAATAAATTGACCACAATGTACAAATCTTCCTTAAAATATTTATTGAAATGTTTGTTTAGAAATTCATAATACGCGTAAAACAAAGTGTTAAAAACTTTTTTTAAAGCGTTTTTTACAAATTAATATTTTCTTGTACTATTATGCATAAATAATTACATAATTATTAAGTTCGATCGT